AGGTGACCCTGCTTCGGCAGGGGGGTTGCACTAGATGACCCACAGAGGTCCCTTCCAACCCCTACTATTCTGTGATTCTGTGATTCTGTGATTTTTAAAATGAAATGAACACACATTTAAAGTAAATTATTTTAACCAGCATGTATGCAATCTTACAATATGCACTTTTCAAAGTCACTTTAAAGAGTAGAAGGATATTTTATTCTTTTTGAGGTGTTTTACCTATTTAAATAATCACAGAATCATGGAATCATAGAATCATTTAGGTTGGAAAAGAACTTTGAGATCATTGAGTCCAACCATAAGTCTAACACTGCCAAGTCCACCACTAAGTCGTGTCCCTAAGCCCCATGTCCATGTGTCTTTTAAATACCTGCAGGGGTGGTGACTCAACAACTTCCATGGGCAGCCTGTTCCAGGGCTTGACAACCCTTTCAGTGAAGAAATGTTTCCTAATATCCAGTCTAAACCTCCTCTGACACAACTTGAGGACATTTCCTCTCATCCTGTCACTTGTTACCTGGGAAAAGAGACTGACACCGACTTGGCTACAGCCTCCTTTCAGGTAGTTGTAGAGAGTGATAAGGTCTCATCTGAACCTCCTTTTGTCCAGACTAAACAACCCCAGCTCCCTCAGCCACTTCTTGTAAGAGTTGTGCTCTAGACCCTTCACCAGCTTTGTTGCTCTTTTTTGGGCGTGCAGCAGCACCTCAATGTCTTTTTTGTACTGAGGGGCCCAAAACAGAACACAGTACTCCAGGTGCATCCTCACTATTGCCAAGTACAGGGACACGATCACCTCCCTACTCCTGCTGGCCACACCATTCCTGATACAAGCCAGGATGTCGTTGGCCTTCTTGGCCACCTGGGCACACTGCTGGCTCATGCTTAGCTGGCTATCAACCAACACCCCCAGGTCCTTTTCCTCTGGGCATCTTTCCAACCACTGCTCCCCAAGCATTGCATGGGGTTGTTGTGATGAAAGTGCAGGACCCGGCACTTGGTCATGTTGAAACTCATACAAATGGCTTCGGTGCATCAATGCAACCTGTCCAGATCCCTGAGAAATGCGATTTGAATTTCCCTCAAGTTTCTTAAATTAAAGAGTGATGAACATGCCTAGCATACTGTATCTAAGTCTTTCAACACATCAGGGACCATGAAGGACTAAAATGACTTTACCTGGAATCTCCGATGTATAGAATTAACTAGACCATACCTGAAAAGGGCAATAACAAATCCTATCCACTTCAAGAAAAATATTTTTTTCACTTTAGCATTACTTTTATAAAGGTGATGAAGAAAAGAGACTTAAAAAAAAAGTTTTGAAATGAGATAATTTTCTTTGTGTTGTCACACAAGGTGTTTTTTTAAAAGAAAGCTCTACAGAACTATACTGACAAGTTGACAAATAATTTTGCCTCTTTTAATGACAGTATATTCTTAGTCGTATTGCTATTCTTTGTTACTTATGTTTAATAACAAAATATTATAAATGAAGTAATTTCTTTTGAATTGTATTTTTTTAAAACGAACTGTCAAAAAACTGCGAAGTATTTAAAGAATGTGTTTAATTTACTTCAAATGCAAATGATTTTTAGAAAACTCTTTC